TGTGAAGCTCTGGTGAACTCCATGCCCAAGAGGGTTAAGGCAGTGCTGGAAAATAATGGTGGCCACACAAAATATTGACACTTTGGGCCCAATTTGGACATTTTCACTTAGGGGTGTACTCACTTTTGTGGCCAGCGGTTTAGACATTAATGGCTGTGTGTTGACTTATTTTGAGGGGACAGGAAATTTACACTGTTATACAAGTTTTTTATTTTATATATCTGTTTTATTTCCCACCATTGGTGTGTTAAAAAAATTAAAATAAATAAAATAAAATTCTAAATCCGACTGCATAAATTAGATATCAAGTGGTGCACAATGAGTTGCTAATATTTAGACTTTGTTTTTTTTTGCTAGTGTATATGAACTCTTTCATGTATGTTTCTTCTCACCGTGATAGTCTTTGTAAAGTGGGTTGGTCTCCTTCTCCGAGCCTCTGAATGATTCCAGAGCAATGGCTGTGTCACTCAGTCTGATTATTCGTCCCATTACAGCTCTGTTCTGAGAGAGTGAGACAGGAAGAGAGAGTGGGAACGGATTTGAGAGACAGGAAATACATGAGAGGAGTGTACAAGTAAATGTAAGAACATCTAGAGCAATGCTGAGAGCATCTCTTGCTAATTAAACCCCTCTTAACGAACAGCAGGGGTTGCACTGCTTTTGCTGTGAGAACTGAATTAGGTCATCATTATCTCAGAAAAATGGAGCAGGGTATTCCAGAGACTGAATTCACAAGCTTACAGAACTTAAACGACCTCAGTTACCAGCAATTTTAAAAGTCCAATTTACAAACACCACTCTCTATGATGACTGTAATCTTTAGCACTTGATGCACTCTTTGCATTTGAGGGATCATTGAGGTATAATTAAAAAGTTTGAGGTCAAAAAAAGGTGGGCATTTAACAAACCACCTAGCAATCAATATAATGTTCAGTGCATCAAAATGATGTTTTAACGTTTTGGATAAGCTCTTGCATCAATCATGGCATCTACACAGGTATTATTATCATTATTATCTTCAGCTGTACTACATAAAGGCAGCTCTGTAAACTGCTGCCTTTGGTTGTGTCGTGTAACATTAAATCCATCAGATCAGAGCAGAACATACGTTTGCTGCTCAAACACATCGAGTGCTTTGATTCCCTCAAACACATGCTCTCCAAATCTGTCCGTCTCTCTTTCTCTGATCGCACGACGCATGCAGTGTCGCCGTATGGCACAAATCTGGATGAACGTAGGCATAAAGCCACATCAACTCTGAAAGATCCCCAGAAAGATCCAAAGATCAAAGAAAAGACGTCTCGCCCATTAATGCTTTCATTCCAAAAATATCTGGTGTAAAAATGTCTTCAAGAAATTTAAAGCATTTCAAATATGCCTTTCCGTTTATCAAGTTTTTGTGTCACACATGAATTATACAAGTTTACATTTCACACTTTGAAATGGCCTGTTTTGGTCTGCCGGTTATGATTTTAACAGGAAACAACTGGTGTAATTCTACAAAACCGCTCAAAATGTTGTAAAATCATGGTAAACGGAGATAAAAGTATGACTGAATGGGCCAAAATATTCAACAAACACATAATGGGCTTGGAAAACAAGTCATGAAAACCTGTGACCTTGACCTTAAATATATGAAGCTCATGCTCAGGGGTACAACTGAACAAACACAAATCAACAACAGCAAAGACACTCAGGCCAATATAGATGAGAAAATAAACCAGTTTAAAGTATTAAAGAGCAAAAATGCACAAACACACATTAAAATCTGTTGAGAGTGCCTCCTTCTGGCAAAAACAAATACAGAGTCTCTTCAAAAAGGAGGGAGCACTCCAAAGAAAGACAGAAAGATAAGGCCGTTGTGAAAAATTTATCTCTACGCCACTCCTTAATATTTCATATACACTCCCTCTCTGTAGCAGCTGACGAGGCCTAATGCAGTTTTCATGCATCCGTTTCCTTTCTTTTTTCTTTCCTCCTTTCTTTTTTCCTCCCATCCTTTCATCTACAGCAGACTTTGAGAGCATGCGTGTTCGTCTAAGCAGCCGTGACCCTTTTCCCAAATCTAGCATCAAAAATGTAACCCAAGCAACTGTGTTAGTGACAGTCACTGTTAACTCAACACCATCACACCAATGCAAGTAAACAAAACAACAACAAATGCCACTACAACAGTTGAGCCAACATATTGAAGGTTCAAGTCCAGGATGGTGTTTAATAAAACGGACAGGTTAACAAAATTAGTGGAAAAGAGAGTTTTAAATCTACTGCTTGCGTTATTTATAATTCATAATTACACTAGGAATCACTATGTGTAGTTGAATTGGTTAAATAGCTTGAGTTTTTGGCCATTGTAAGAAATACTGCAAATGCATTAATTAATTAATTTAAAAAGATGGATATAAGAAACAATACTTCTGTGAATTAAAAATGTAATCTTTGATTTAGCTACATTCTTAAAATATATATGCAAAGTAAAATGTATAAATAATGTAAATTTCCCAATGGCAAATCATGTCAAGCTCATTTAAATATAAATATAAATATTACAGGTGCAAAGCAAAAAATTTTAAGAAATGTATCTAGAAATTGCTTATGTATCATGCAGTCCATTATTACATTTTGTTTCACTTTGATAAATAAATAAATAAATGGATATATGAATGAATGAATGAATATTTTCACAAATTGAATTAAAGAGCATTTTATATTAATCTTTTAAACAAGGGCTTATTTTAATGATACACAAGTAGATCAAGTTTCTGAATATATATTCATATATACTTTACATAATTTGTTACTCAGTTTAATATAAAATGTTTTTAAGAACAATTGCACAAATTTGTTTCATGAATGAGATAATCAAACACAGCTGGACTCAAATGCAGGCGTAGAACCCTCTCAAGGATGATCAGAAGAAATGGACAGCCCCTGAGTTAAATATATGAGTGTCACAGCAAAGGGTCTGAATACTTAGGACCATGTGATATTTCAGTTTTTCTTTTTTAATAAATCTGCAAAAATGTCAACAATTCTGTGTTTTTCTGTCAATATGGTGTGCTGTGTGTACATTAATGAGGAAAAAAAATTAACTTAAATGATTTTAGCAAATGGCTGCAATATAACAAAGAGTGAAAAATTTAAGGGGGTCTGAATACTTTCCGTACCCACTGTATATGCGCATCTATCTATCTACCTATCTATCTATCTATCTATCTATCTATCTATCTATCTATCTATCTATCTATCTATCGACTTTAATATGGCAAAGGTGTTAAAATATGTTCATACTACATGAATACGTCTTGTTGGTGGCTGGAAGTACGATTAAAATAGGACATACAATATTTAGTAAAGAACACACAGTGAATGTGTACAATTTTGTGAACAATGAGTCTTTGCTTTCTGCCAATTTGGACACAGATTGTATGCAGTCCTACTAATTGAACTGTTCTACAAGTCACATCGAAATGCTAACTTTAGCCATGATAACAGTTCAGCTCTTCCTTAAACGTCTCTGAAGCTGTCATTCTTCAGACTGATAGACGGAGTCTCCAGGGTCCTGACCCGACAGCGGCAGTGCCTGTAGGTGTGTGTGGTAGTGGACTATGTCTATTTGAGCAGAGATTGATTAAAGTTTCAGATGGACTGTGGCTTTAATCTCGTCAGAGGAGGCTTTCAACGCCCGGCCCTTTCCTGTCGACATTAAAAATACATGACACGACTTTTCATTACAAGTCACATCTGATGGACTTCAGATGAGGTGCTAATGCAGATAACGGAAGATGAACACAACAGCTGTAAAAGTTGACCCCGAGTTTAGTAGTGTAAGCTAAAATCTTGATCCCTCAGACAGTATGCTAGTAATATTACTGAACATTAAAAACATCTCTTCAAGCTCTAAACCTCTAGAAGCAGATGTACAGTTTTGAGGTTTACACTGAAGTGTAATTTTCATTACCAAAAACTTGCTTGACGACTACAAAATAAGAATCTAGCATAATAAATTACCTCAAGACTAAACTACTGAATATCCAAAGGCTACATTGCATTTTTGAAAGGTAAAGTAATGTATTAAAAGACATTGCAATAATAATAATAATAATAGCAATAATAATATGGTTTGTCATTTACAGTTTACCATTCCCACCCCAAACTATACATTCAGGTATCAAAACCTTTTTCAAATGAGAATTTGTTTTTTACTGAAACTTGACAGTTGACTCATCTTACCGCACTCTCTACCTGCACAAACATAAGTTATAATATAATATATATATATAAAGGTAATAACAAAGACAGATTGAACTTGAGCACATTTTATCTGCATGCTGCACTGCGACTCTTCTGTCACAGAATATGTGGACTGAAGCACTGATATATACATATATATACACATATATATATATATATATATATATATACACACTCACATACATACATACGTACATATACATATATATATATATATATATATACACACACACACACACATATATATATATATATTTCATACATGCAAAAGTTTAAGAAATCATTTTTAATCTCTTATGCTCACCAAGATTGCATTTATTTGATCAAAATACAGTAAAAACAGTAATAATGTGAAATATTTAAAATAACTGTTTTCATGTGCAATATATTTCAAATTTATTCTGTACTTACTGATAGGTCTACTAGTTTACATCACATCCAATCCACAAAACTACTTTCAAACCAACGTTTACTCCATCACCTCCACCGCTGTGTGCCCCCAGCCTCCCTGAGAGGGGTTTTAGCACTTTGTCTCCAAACGGACAAAGAACAGTGAGATCTTGTCTTTTGAAGCGCTTTTAGCACAGCGGCTGCGGCCTGACTCTCGTTGGCTAATGGAGGCACAAAGAAAAGGGCCTCTCAGGAACCAAGAGACGCTGAAAGAGAGAAGCGCCCAGAAAGACTCGAGACTGACCATTGGCTGGCTGAATGCAAAGTTGAGGGCCTCAGACAAAGAATGTGGGTTCACGCGCCAATGAAGACGCTCCTCTGAAGGCCAAACATACATGTACTCAAACAGATACACACACAGGCCCCTGAACCCCAGCCAAGCAGAACCTCATTCACACAATGAGGGGGGTCGTCTCTTTGACTCCGGCTCATGGGGTGGTTATGGTGTGCCAGGGTCGACAAACTTATGGTGACCTCAATGCTGGTCCATGTGACTGACAGTCAAGTTAAAAAAAAAATCTAAAAAGGCTGTTCTGTGGGATTAGTTCTGGAAGTCAATGGTGGAAAAGTCTAATACCGTTCCCCATAGCGACCCCTAGAGGACGCAGTTCGAAGTTCCACGAAAGGGAACGTCTCGGGTTACTTATGTAACCATGGTTCCCTGAGGGGAACGAGACACTGCGTCCTCTAGCTTTTGTGCCATGCTGCGGACACAAGCTTCAGACGAAGAAGTGATGATGTGCGCTACCGGCGCCTATTTTGTACTAGTTGCGACGGTAGTGACGTCATGGCTGTCGCCTGGCCAAACAAGTTGGTGTTTTTTCAATGTAGGCTTCAGACACGGGTCACGACGAGGCGTTCCCCATAGCGACCCCTAGAGGACGCAGTGTCTCGTTCCCCTCAGGGAACCATGGTTACATAAGTAACCCGAGACGATTCATGATGATGCCATAAAAATTCAAAAGTTTGGAATGATAGCAAAACCACAAAACCACAACAGATACCTTTTTTGAAGTGGCTGTGCAAGACCTGTCGCCAAAATAGTGTTGTGAGTGTTACGAGGGTGTTGCTAGAACAACCCTAAGTCTCTATAATGTGCTTGTGCCTCAATATTGTGTGCTCTTTCTTCAATATAAGTCTATGGAATTTTGCAGGTTTGATCATCAAAAATTTTGAATCTTATTGATAGATTGAGCTCAACTGTCCTTAACAAGCAGCATGATTTAAAGTATTAATTGCATCCCTATACTTAGGGTTAAGATTTTAACATCCCTAAACCTCAGTAAGAGAAATAACCCTGGCAAACACCACAGATAAAAACTGGAGGGGACAAAATGCACTGCAATACAGTAGTTGAAGAAAAATATGTAGGCAAATAAATGCAAGAAAGACACCCAATTACAGTTCAGTACACAAATATTACAATGACGTCATCACTGTTGGTTAGATTTTGAATGACAAAACAAATGCAACAATAGAATGATAGACCGATAGGTAGAACGATATAGATAGATAGATAGATAGATAGTACATCCTTGCTGAATCAAAGCATTAAGGTAGTGTGACTTAACAGTGACTCCAAACATCATATAAAAAGGATTTATATGAACACACTGAGAAACTGTGATTAATCATACCTGTATGAGGTGGGAGGGTACGGTCACCATAGCGACTGAGAGTGAAGTGCGTAAAAGGCCTCGGAGGGCATAGAGAAATGTGGTGAGGGCGTGGCAGTGGGCGGGGTTATCCTTACAGCACACATCATCCCCCCAGAGCACTGACCCCAGAGAATGAAGACCCAGCCGCAGGACATTCCGAACCTTAGACTACAGAAGTGCAAAAAAAAAAGAGACAAACACAAAAAACAAAATTGAATTTCAAACACTGCATTCTTTTCGAGACAATCTGGATATGTACAATTTATGTGAACAAATCCACATCTGGCTTGTGTAATGAATATTTCATTAAAGTAATGTAGAGTAAACTTTGTGTTCAAAAATGCATGAATGAATATCTTAACAGTATTTTAATAAGTGCACCTTAATTTAAAAGAGAAACAAGGAAAAACCTGTGGTGCTGCATGACACTTATTTACAGTAGCATGTCAATGATGTGTACATTTTTCACTACAGTTTTTAGAACTCTATAAGTATCAATTCTGCAGCAAAATAAGAATTTTGTAAACAAGTGAAACATTGTATGACCTATATGTAAATTTACAGATTTAAATAGAAGAGTTTGCAATGTAGCAAAAACTGGTAGTTTTAGATAAAATGCTGTATCAGAATCAAATTAATCTTTATTGTTGTCATTATATTCTGCATTATTTGTCTTTCCGTCTGCTGTGCATTAAAATAAACACAACAAATTTTGTGATACTTTGTGATACTTTGCACTGCAAAGACAGCTATGGATTGATTAACGCCTTACCACTACAAGCACGCACAAATCAGGCAACCAACTTGACTTAATTTACACACGCAATTGTATTGCAGACAACATTTTGGTAGAACCCCTACATATCTCTGACCATTTCTTCATTACATTTAAACTACATTTTGCTACCTGTGTGCCACCAATCTCTATACCGGTTACTTTTAGATGAAACCTACGCTCCCTTTCACCCTCCCATCTTTTCTCTGTAGTATTCCCTCAACTACCCATTTCTCACCTCTGGATGTGAATGCAGCAACTGAGACTTTATGCTCTACTTTAACCTCATCTAGATGATATTTGTCCTCTCTCCTCCAGGGCAGCACGGGCTGCCCCTTCCAACCCCTGGTTATCCGATGTTCTTTGTGAGCATCGGACCAAACTCAGGGCAGCAGAGAGAAAATGGCGCAAATCAAAAGATCCGTCAGACCTGAGTATGTATCAGTCTTTGCTTTCATCTTTCTCTGCTGAAGTCCATACTGCCAAATCTTCATATTTCCAACACATTTCAAAACATTTAATTCTCTCCTCTGTCCCCCTCCATCACCTCCCACCACTTCTATAACAGCTGATAATTTCGCCACATTCTTCACAGACAAATCTAGAAGAATCAGAAGTAAATTCTCAGCCCCACACACACACAGGACCTCAAACCACATCCACTGCTAAAACTCCCATCTTCTCCTTCTGTCCCCTCACTGAGGCAGAAGTATCAAAACTTCTCCTCTCCAGCCATCCTACAACATGCCCTCTAGACCCAATCCCCTCACACCTTCTCCAAGCAATCTCTCCTACACTCTTACCAGCACTCACACACATCATCAACACATCTCTCCTCGCAGGCACTTTCCCAACTGCATTCAAGCAACCTCAGGTAACCCCACTGCTCAAAAAACCTACATTAAACACTTCACTTACAGATAGCTACAGACCTGTCTCTCTCCTTTCATTCATAGCGAAAACCCTCGAACGAGTTACTTTCAACCAGGTATCATTGTTTCTTTCACAGAACAACAAACTGGATCCTAACCAGTCAGGTTTCAGGAGTGGCCATTCAACTGAGACTGCGCTACTGTCAGTCACAGAAGCCTTGCGGATTGCAAAAGCTGATTCCAAATCATCAGTCCTTATTCTGCTGGATCTTTCTGCTGCTTTTGACACTGTCAATCATCAGATCCTCCTGTC